CCGGCGAGAGGCGACGTCAGCCCCGTGCGGCCTTGCGGAGGGGCCGCACCTGCCCCGCGGGGCGGTGGAAGACGGCGGGGCCACAGCGCTGCTCCCTTCCTCCTTCCCGCCCGCAGCCTCCTCCGAGGCGGAGTCTGTGCGAGGTCTGCCGTACCAGGAGTTCGTCTGTGTGCGGCGCTAGCCCCGGCTTTGGAGAGAGGTCCGGGCCGCGGGGGAGCGAGCGAAAGGTAATACGTGCCGGCGAGCCCCGGGCAGCGGTAGACAGAGGTGAGGTCTGGTGTCTGAAAGCCTCTCTGCTGCGGCGTCCCTCCTGCTCCCTCGTCCCGCCCCTTGACCCGCGGGTGGCTGCGCTGCGATGGCAGCGGCCGCGCCGGAGGCAGATGGCGTTCGGCCTGCCCGAGCTGTGCCTCTGTGAGCTGCTTTGCCTCGCCTTCAGCGAGGTGACAGACTTGCACCGTTAGGTGGGATTTGCAGGACTGGTAAGAACGCAAATCGTATCAGGTTTCATTTCTTAGGCATTAAATTCATTACGAAGCAAATCGAAAGTCAGCCAAAGAAATTGCAGCATTTCCCAGAGTCTGGAAAACTGTTTATAGCTGTGCTATGTCCACTTGTCACCAGCTTTGGCATCCTCCTGGCACTTGTAGGCGTCCCACTTCGGGTTCTCTGCTGTTGTGCGTTCCTTATGAAGGCACCTTTGCAATAAAATGTGATGACTGTTTATCTGGAGCAAGCAGTTTATGGTGTCAGGAAGTTACATCTTGCAACACTGTACTAAAAGTAGAGCAGTGTGTTAGTTTGTGTGCGAGGAAAGCGAGGTGTGCCACCTTTCTGAAGGCTTCCCCAAGAAGCCAGTCAAAGGGCTGAGCGTGATACTGAACTCCTGCCAGGCTCACCCTGAAACCGCAGCTGTGCCTGTTCTGCTTTTAGTTGCACTTTGTGAGAAGAGTAGTGAGAAAGTTCTGCTAAAAAGCTTTGTTTGTCAGAGCATGTGAGTATTGCATCTGAAAAATCTTTACAGTGCTTTCTGTAGTTACTTAGGCCAGCACCCGGGCTTGGGATGAGTGGGGAACTGGGGGAGGGCTGTGGAGGTAAAACTAGTTCGTAGCTACAAGCGTTGTTATAAATTAGATTAATGCTTCTGTCATACAGTCTTGTAACTGGCTGGCTGAATTCAAACAATAGTAAATGTGTTAAAGAAGGATTTCATCACTATTTGTTACAGATTCTCCTTTGTCCTTGATAAGCCTGGGCAGGTAATATTGATACCACCACTGAACAGTGCTAACACAGCTGAAAGTGACTTTGTCCTATTAGGTTACTAACACACACACATGCTGTGCATTCATATCTAGGTATGGGAAACCAAGAGTTATCCCAAAGCTATTCTTATTCCATAGAATTTTTACCTGTAGTAAAATTGAGTGATCGTGTGTAACATTAATGTCTTCTAAGGGGTACTTTCTACTCTCTGAAGAATGTGCTTTTTATAGGTAGGGCAGAATCTTACATAAAGACTCCTTACATCTCTCAGTACTTTTTGGGGGCAGATAGTTTATCATGCAGAAAAATACTCTTGCTTGGTTGGTTATCAGTTGAAAATAACAGTAGATTAAATCATAAACAGGTCTGTAAGGCTGAATCTTGCATTATTAATTCCTACTGTTCAAGTAATGAGACTTGAGATCACTTTAAATGTAGAACTCTTTGGGGAAATTGGATACCCGGCTGTTATTTACTTATTTGTGTTTTTTTGGTACATCATGTGAATATGCCTGTTTCTTTAATACAAGATGTATGTCTTGCTTTAGCTGGCCTTTGGTAAAGATTAGTTCTACAAATTGATTGCTTTTATATACAAGTAACACATTCCAAACTATTTGAAATTTTTCGTGCTTGTCTTGCCTGGTGAGTGAAAATCCTTCAGGTCTTTTTTAAGATTAAGAAACTAGATCAGAATATTAACAGTTGCCAACTAATATTTATTTAGTAATATCTTCTATTAGGCCAAGCTGTTTCTGAATTAGAGAGACTTTAAACATATGAAATAGATTAATATCTTAAAGGATGTAGTTTCTTCATAATGTAGCAGAACCTTGTGATAAATCTAGCTGGTAAACTGTTGCACTTGTTGCCCAAACCCTTCACCAGTTTTGAAATCTTGACACATTTTGCAAGCTGGGAGACAGCCTCCCCCATGAGTCACTTGCCATGGCGTTTGCAGAACTGTGGGGTAGGGCTTCCGAGGGGGCTGCAGGCTGAGTCCAGAGCCATGTGATAATGGTGGGAAAATAGTCCTTGTTTACAATGAGCCATGGATCAGAATTACAGTGAATTTCCCAAAGTTACCTTTAATGGCTGAATCAGCAGTGTCTTTACTGTTGTCAAAACAGACTTTATTTGACTGTTACAAGAAAGGATTAATTTTAAAACCTCTATAGAAAAAAGGGTATGACTTGTGTAGTGAGTGATCTTAGAAGAGGCGCATAGGTTACATGCAGTGTCTCTTCTTGTAGTGCTTTTTTTAGGGCTCTCAAAATGAGAAAGTTGGAAAGTAGGTTTGCTGAGATGTTAGTAATTGCATGTAAATACATGGATGTACATCTATTTTTGGCATATAGGAGGTAGCATTTGAAATGGTGTGATATGTCTGGCGGATGCAGGAGGCAGCTGGGATTTTTTGACCTGTGCCAAGTGAAAATCCTTCTGTTGTTGAAAGTTAAGTTGATTTGCTTTTTTTACCATCTCTTGATTTCTAGGGTTCACGAGGTAGCAGGCAGACCGTGCATGGTTTTGTAGAGACTGCCTTAGGTTTATAACAAGAACAGAAACCAACCTGGTTTTAGCAGCGATTTTCTAACATCAGTTTAGTAGTCAACTGGCATTTAGAGAGAATTACATCCTGGGACATACTTCAAGTGAGTTTCCAGTATCAGCCTTGACGAATCCAACATGAATATTCGATGTTAAGTTCAAACTTCTTTAATGAATCACTTTGGGCATTTAAGACTCTACTTGTAGTCAGCTTACAGTATGTGAAGTATGGTTGCATAGAAGATTTATATATCTCATTTGTGGGAGAGCGGCTCTATTTGGGACTGCGTGCAAGTGAAAAACCAAAAGGAAACGGTGGTCTCACCCTTGACGACTTTAGTTTATGAAAATTAGCATGCATACAAGCTGGGGAATCAGTCACAACCTTGAAAGAGATCCTCATTTTACCCATGGTTGTAAATCTAGTCTAGAGTTGATATTAGCTGCTGGTTTTGAGAGAGCTGTGTTTCTGCATTTTAACTCTTGCAATTTAGTACACTGGATAAATAACAGATTTCTTCTTTTAACATATTTTTACAGCTATTTCATTAACAGAATGAAGCCTGTGAAGCTGCACTATTGGATTCTGGGTTGGTTTTTTATGGCATTATGTTGTTGGTGTACTTCAGATACATTCTCTCAAGGGTAAGTCATGCTTTAAAATGAAATCTCTGACAGTTTTTTCTTAAGTGCAGAACATAATAGTTTGACTTATAATGAGTGTACATTTTCTTATTTTATTATATAGTATTTTTGATCTGTTACTCTTCCCTTAGGTGAGTAGTAAAATGAGACATCTACATTAACCAGGGGAGTAGAGATCATGCCTAAGAAAAGCTTTACATTAATGTGTCAGCATGAAAAAAGAAGGAAACTTAAATTACATTCATTACACATAAAACTTGGCAATCTGGCTTTAAATGAATTATTTTGACTTGTGGTATAGTCATGACAAAAATAAAAAATAATTCAGAAACCTATAACAAAAAACTGGAATCGCCCCTATGGCATGGATTGTACCAACTGTTACACTGTATACCTTTTTATACCTTTTTTTCCTGTCTGTTTTCTCAGTTCCAAGAATTTTAAATTCCTTTTCTTACAACATTCCAGCTGGGGCTGGATCAGTGCCATGCAGCCTTTTGGTGGTGGTTGCACTTGGCAAAATCTGGGCTTGAATAATAATGGGTCATGGGGTAACCATACCCTAAACCACACCCTTCAGTGGTAAAGGCACAAATTCTTGCTGTATTATATTAGGAATTAAATGTTTCTTCTTCCTTTCAGTGTTGTGGCAAGAGGGTGGTTAAGGGGGCTCAGGTCAACGTTGAACATCATATAAAGGCCACATTGCAGCTGGTTGGTAGTTTAGACACTCTGCTGAGGTTTCTCAGATCCCCAGGACTTGGGCTATGGCTTGGCCATCTTGGTGGCAGAAGCAGCTCTGGAGGCACAGTGCCGAATGGCACAGGGCAGGATAACTTGGGAAAAAAAAAAACAACGGTCATATCCCTGAAGCTGAATAGGTACTAAAAATGGCTTTCCTTGGATTCCAGTTCTGAGCTTAAGTTTCTAAAACTTGCTTTATTTAATAACCAAAATTTTCTGACTTATCCTTAGCCAAAAAGTGTGTCCTAGGAGAACTTACTTTGGCATTGTTGTAGGAGAAGTTCAGCTGCTATTTCAAATACAGATGAAAGGTGGTATTTTTCTAAGCAAGGATTTTTTTAAGCAAGGAAATGAACTGCTCTACAGGATTGGGGAATTCTTTTATTCAGATTTCCACAGCAGCAGTAAAGGCCGGTTAGATGTGTTAATGGTTTTCATTGTGGCTATGCCCGATTTGTTCCAGAGGTATTCTGCTAAATTATTTAAAAAACCACAGATACATGTGAATGCTTGAGAGAACATGTGGCCATTGCAAACTAGCAAAACCAGAGGAAAAAATTGAGAAGTTATGTAACATGGGAGCATCCCTACTTCCTCAGGTTGAGAAGAATTAGCTTTCTTATAAATTTTTTTAATAACCTTTGTCAAGCAGTAACAAAGGACATGTGGCTATTAGCTTCCAGAGAATAATGATTTATTTTGACAGTGCCGCATATAGTGCTGTCAGTTTGAATAATTTACAGTTCTGTTTTTGTTCATTAGGCTTTCCCATTTGCTGTTCTATTTAATTGCTTAGTGCGGTTGCTTAATAGCTAAATATATCTACTGTAGTGTCTGAAGCAACAGGTTTTTAATCTGCTTCTAGTTTATCCAGAATAGGTCTGCTGCAAACTGTTGGAAAATGCCTCTGTAGAAGTGGCAAAGACATGATATAAGCATCTTACACTTTTTGAACAACATTTTTAAGCTTTTTTTTGCCTTTTTTTTTTTCTCTCTACGTAGGTATAAGGTAGTACTGATGCATTTGTGAGTTATAGATCTCTTTATTCTAAGAGACTGTGAAACACAGGTGCTTTTGTGAAATATGGGATATTTTTTCTTTAGCTCTTCCCTCGGTAACCTTTAGACTGTGTCATAGTTCGATTATTTATTAAATGTTTTAAAATTACTTAATTTATAGTAAACACTTTAAAAATGTAGTTTTTGTGTTAGATGCCTGTGAAATTATGAAGTCAGCGTTTTTGAGATTTATGGTTCTTATTTGACTTTTTATTCTGATTTTTTTTTTTTAAATCTGAAAGGTTGGAGACACTTGCAAGATCAAATTGCATCTCCTGTGGTGTCAACTACATCATTTGTGGTTGTTTGTAGTCTTTCTTTTTTAGAAGAGTAATTATGATTACAATGTTGTAAACTTTCTTTTCAGCTCATATACCTATCAAGAAGAATTAGACGATTCTTAATATCCTAAACAAAGATATATTTTAATTATTTTTTAAATTGTTGTTGTAAAAGCTTGCCAGTAAGCACTCTCCCAAGTATAAAATATGTTTCTTCCATATTTAAGAAATGGAAAGCATATGGAGATAAGATGCCAGGAGTTTAATTTGTTTAACAATGTGGGGTTTTAGCAGGTTTCTAAATGTGTTGTTTCTATGTGATTTGTTAGTTTGGTCCTTCTGTAATTATTCTCAAATACTATGATAGAAGCTATAAATGACAACCAGCTCTAAAATCAATGTGTTATACTAGTAAGCGTTGTGCTGCTGGTTGAAGGTGTTGCTGTTTTTAAAATGCTTGAGGAAGAAGAAAATAATTGCCTGTCTTTCTCTAGTGACAACCACCCTCATACCTGGAAAAAGCTGTATCTTGCTCATCATTGGCCAGTGACTGTATGTAAGGTGAGATTTTTGTGTTCTCTCTTATCCTGGCAAAAGTAGCCTTGGACAATAAATGTTTGAAAAAATAATAAACAAAGCTCATCAAGCATTTAATCTTGTTTATGCCCTTATATCTTTATAAAGGCTTTTGCTCATCTTGGTGCAACTTTTGATACTTTCCCTGTACTCCAGTGTAGCAGTAAACAAGATGGGATTGTGGTATGTTACAGATACAGCAATCAATATAAGACATACTGTACACTAAGCCTTAGATGCTTGTTATATATTTTGTGATGTCTTGTTAGTTATAAACTTAATCCTAGATTAATCCTCACTAGACTGTGAGGAGACTTGCCTGCCTAGTCTGACTGAAGGTAGCAGATGAGTACTTGGACTGTCTGCTGCACGACAAGCTTTAGCTCTGTAATGTTGGCTCCAGCGTTTTAATGATGTCATCAAATACAGTCAGGAAAAAGAGAGCTATAAAATTATTATGGCAGGTGCCTCTGAAGAATGAAGAACCTGTGGATAACAGAGAAGCTTCAGTTTTGGGGAAATATCTCTGGAGCCAAAAAGGTTCCAACTCTGGGAGACTATGGTGTATTTATTACAATATTACAGGAATTTTTTGTGCTTTAGGTGCTTTTTAAATTTCTCATTCCTATTTCTGGAAATATGTATAAGAGCAGTAGCAGCAAAAGTCACATACTGCCTAAATGTTTGAGGAGAAGTAGGTGTACTTTACATTGGTTATATGTGGAGGGGAAGTGTCAATAACAAAACTCAGATGTTCATGACTGAGACCAAGGAGTGGCCACTGTTCCATTTTTTGTTTGTTTGCCTGGTTTTGAGCAGAAATAAGGGCAGATTTGATTTGATTTGCAACTTTTATCTGGTTATCTGTTGAGTAAACATCACTGTTTCTGACTTCAAGAAGAGTTATTGGTGTTAGGAGTTTGTAGTGCTTGGCACAGGGTGGATGTTCAGAATCAGTAGCAGTGCAAACCCCTGCTTTCATGAATGAGATGGAAACAATTAAAAAATAGAAAACAAACCAAAAAAACCCCTACAAACCAATCAAACAGAAAACCCTACCAACCACTTTTCCCACTATATAATCATGCTGGCCACTACTCTTGATTCCAGGGCAGCGCTATTGGTAAATTGACAAATAACCTTTATAAACTACAGTGAAATTGTAATGCATAATTGAAGATATTAAATGTCAGAAAACATAGGCTTTCTTACAGTTATGATTTCTTGTAGTAAAAGGTAGACAGAAGCATTCCAAAGAAGTGAAGAAAAAGTGAAATTAAAATCATGTTAACTGACCTTTTGCGCAGTTTGCAATTATTGAGTCATGTGGAGAAACAGAATCCCAACCGTATTCCTGTAGCAGCTTACTTTTTGCTAATGCTAATATAAGGGGACTTCCCAAATTTAGCTATGGGGTTTTTTTAAGCACACAGATTCTTCTGCATGTTCCGTGTAGTTATAGATGATTGCTATTTTATTTAAGGGAGGAAATATTTTTAATTTCATTCTTCAGTTTAAAACTGTTGACATGATGTTGAAAAGAAAAATAGCTAGGTGAAGGAAACTGCAAAACTCATTGTATCATTTATATAAAAACCATTTGAGACACTACTTTATGCAAGTACTTAGTTTATGCTTCCTATATAAAGGAACCTGATTATAGACTACTTTGCTACATACTGTGTTCTTGACAAGTGTGTGGATGACCCGCATCTTAATTGCTACCTGTTTTGCATAGCTATGTTCAAAAAGTTTTTCAGGCTTTGAAGGCCTGAAAGATCTTTTTTTTTTAAATTTAGTGGGCACAGTTGAGTGTACTAGAAATTTAGAATACACGTCTCCCAGCTCTTCATGTGCTTTAAACTGTGTGTGTTCAGCTGGTGCTTTTTAATACTGAATGTGATCAGCACAATTAAACTGGAAAGTAAATGTTTTGAAATCACATCTTCTAAACTAACATATTAAAATACAACAGTGAGTATCATGGAAGCAGTAATAACTCCTGGACTTAACTACTGACTGCTGCAGTGAAAGGGTGGAGGAGGAAGAGAGATGTGCTTCCTTATCATGCGATTAGAATTTCCAGTACCATATAGAATCATAGAATGGTTTGGGTTGGAAGGGACCTTAAAGATCATCCAGTCCAATCTGCCTGCCATTAAGGTCTCCCCTCAGCCTCCTCCAAATTAAACAATCTGTAAGAAAAAGCACATAAGAGATTTTAGCCTATCAACTCATGCTGGAGAGGTGTTCAACGAGAAGTAAATTTGTTTATTTTGCTCCTCCCAATTTTTTTTTTCAGCAACCTTGTAAGACTGGCTCATTCATTGGTTGGTTTAACATCATGCAGTCAGGGGAAGGAGGAAGAGGAATAATTAGAGGCTGTTTAGGGGAGAGAAATTTAAGAGGTGAACTCCACAGTTTTAAAAGCAAATCTTTTTCTTAGCAGTTGTGATGTTTCATTACAAAATAGCACTTAAAATTAATCTTAATTAAACAGATGGTCTACTTAAACGAAGTGGTTGAAAGGGGGAGAAGGATTAAATATTTCACTTACCAGAAGCTGCCTTTTTATTAAAACTTATGGTATGTGCGTGTGATCCTGTAGCACTACCCCCTCCTATGTACAAACTACTGTACCAAGGGATTTGTAACTTGGGGAGCTCTACAGGTAACACTTCTGTGACAGTCTGATAGGGTTTCACTTTTTGGCATGTCAGAGATGAAAGGAGCTCCCGCACTTCTAGCAGCCCCTGTTTGTCCGATGTCTTCCATGACAAATAGGCTAATCTCTGCTGCAGCATTCCCTTTCAGTATAGTGGGTGCTGTAAAGGCTCACCGGCATTTTTCTCAGATTGTGTATGGGTAATTCGGATTGGTTGGAGTATCAGATTGCTTTAAAACAGGAAAAACAGTGTTGGTTTGTGTTGGGTTTTTTTTCTTTTTCAAATTAATCTAGATACAGAAGGCTTTCTGGGGTCCAATGCCTACTTGAAAATACTTAGTTGTGGCTGTTTCAAGTCAACAGTTGTCTGAGGTTTAATTAGTCCTTCAGCAATCAGTATATGGTAAGCAGTAAGACTGACTCAGACTAACGTCTGCTCATTTTATGATATTGATTTAAAATGAACATTGGAAAAATACTATGGCTAGAATTAAAAAGGAGGATGAATGAAGCTGTCCAAAATATGCAAAGTGTGAACTAATATGTTGTAGGTTGCATTGACCTCACAATTCTGCCAGCACACAATGTAACACCAAAAGCCTGATTAAATGTGTCGAACAAACTGCTAATAAATTGATTGCCGTGACAAGGGAGAACTGATTCCAAATTTGAAATAATCTGAGCTTTCTTTCAGCGTGTCTGAGAGCTGCGGTTAAAGATTGGATAAGGAGCACAGTTGCACTGTTCTTGTTACCACCCTTAGTTGAGCAAGCTGGTTAGCTGTCAGGTTGTTTTTCAGGGGATGGTGCCTTAGCTGCTGGCTATTAATTTACTGTATTTTGGGCTAGATAGCCCAACTCTTTCAGCTCCACAAATCTTGTGTCATGACAGGAGCTATATTGTTTTGGCCTATTCAGTGTGCGTTTGTTGAAAATATTCCTTGCAGGAAAAAAACTGCTGCTGGGTTGAATTGCTTCTATTACTGATGGCAAGAGAGGAGGGTAAGGAAATGTTTACAGAACAAGAATGGCTTGCAGAGCTTGCAGTTTTACTGCCACTGGCCTGTGGCATGTGAAGGCAATTAGTGAGATTACAGGCCTCTTTCTGCTCTTGTCTACACTCAGCTCTTGCTCTGGCATCACATAAAAGGCATTGTGGCATAATTAAGCCAGAATGCAGGGCTGAAAAGGAAAGCTATTATTACGGGTGGGGGGGGGAGGGGGAGAAGTCTGAGGAGGTTGTTATTTAGTGACGAAAAGTGTTTACTAAAAAGAGGTATAATTACTAAGCAGAATAATCAGGGAATAATCAGTAATAATATTCTGTGATGTGTGAACATGAATTTGTTTTGGTTTGTTTTGTTCAGGAATATGTACTATGCTCTAAACAGTCATTAATGTGTAGGCTGTTTCTCCTGCATTATCAAAAGTTTTGACTGGAGACTTTTTTTTGTAGGAATGTATATATTATTTCCTTTTCCCTCCCTTGTCCCTCAAGTGAAAATATTTTAAAAATATATTTTCTAACCATTTTACTTGGAGTAAGCAACCTATTTCCTATCTTTTTTGTATTTTCCTCTTTTAATACAACAGCAAAACTATTCCTGGATGCTTAAAGTCGTTGTGTACTTATCTAATATTATAATTTATTTTGATAGTTTTTATTTTGATAGCTCTGTACTTCTTGAAAAGGTCTGATGATGAGAAAAATATAGAGAACTGCTACTTGGATTATGATAAATGCAGATTTTAGCTCCATTCGTTGTGCATTGTCTTCTTTTTACACTGCCTGTTCAGGATGCCGCCTGATATTCACTTGATCTGCTTCAGAATTTTAATGCCAGTTGGTCTCTGCTAAGTGGTGCAATCCACGACACCTTCAAGTAACTGGAGTTGAGTAGTTCCTGATTCGGGCAAGCAAAAGTTCTCATGTCTCACTGGAGCCTTGGACCACCAGTGAATGAGCTTTTATTTTCAATTCTCAAGCTTTAACCCTGGACACATATAAAAATATTCTACTTGTTGGTTTGGTTTTTTTTCCCCAGATGAGTGCTAATGATTGTCAAGACCCTCCAGAGTATTGGACAATCCATGGACTGTGGTATGATCATACAGTGTTTTTATTTCAGCCTGGAAAGAAAAATCAAGTTTTGTACTGTGATGTTTAGTGCGGTTTTTTTAAGGGCTTAATGTATATGGTTTTATGATTTCTTGAAACAAAAGCTGTAATTATGTTGGTAAACAAATGCTATGGTTTGATATAAAACTGAAATGCACTTCTGTATCTCATGACTTGCTGAGCTCCTGAAAACCTCTTGCCACATGACCATTTTATTTATAGATCTCCTTATAAGATCAGTAATGTTCTCAAACAGAGAAGGGAAGTAGAGTTTCCCTTCTTTTTTTTTCTCTCTCTGAGTACACAGAATTTGTTAATATCTCGTGACTGCTTGTGGCTTTAAGCATCTTAGCACAAATATTGCGAAAGCACAGGAAAACTTAACTTGTTTCAAAGGAATCAACTCATTGGAATTGGTGCCAGTGACAGCGATTCAAAGCTTTTCTTGGCGAATACAGGGAAAAATTCAATACAGGAGTCTGTTAAGCTATGCATCCTGAAAAGGTGGATAGCATTATGTCTTAGTTTCCAGTGAGTGTCTTGGTGACACTTGCAGAATCATCACTTGGTGCAGTGCTTGAGGAGGTCAGTGTCATTAGTGACATGAGGTGCAAGACCTTCCATATAATTTACTTCCCCATATGTCTTTTACAAGAGTGAGAGGAACTGGAGGGCCTAATGAAGAACCTCTGCGTGACCATAATTAATGTATTGAATTTTTAATTCTAAAACACTGTAGAAGCTGATGGATTACTTGCATTTTAAAATGAAATCTCTAGCTATAATCTTGCATATTTAAGATTCAGGCTAATGATACAGAATAGAATGCTGTTGGCTACCATTAGTGAATTAGGAGTCATCTTTTTTTTTTATTTTTGTTTTGCTTCCCTAGGCCTGACAAAACCGAAGATTGTAATAGGACGTGGCATTTCAACGTCACCGAGATTAAGGTATTTATTTAAAACAAAACCAGTCATACCAAGTAGAGCTCAGTCCAATTACTTTTGCACATCCTGCGTACAAAATCTGTAGCTTATAATGTGGCACTCTTATTGTTTGCGGAGAGGTATGTTCTTTCAAGAACTCCACAAATTCATTAGGTGCTTCTGGTACTACTTGAACTTGCAGTGCTTGAGATCGTTAGCAGCTGTTTCTACTTCATTTTGTAGATATGTGGTTTGACTTCCTCAGCCACATCCTCTTTAAAAAAAACTAGAGAATGCAGGCGGTGGGTCTGCAGTGTCAAAAAGTACCTGTGAAAAATAGGTTATAGTTAGTCCATGTCTGTCTTCCATTTTCTTCTGTAAAGCCAGAACACAGAAAATGGAGGAGCTCAGAGTACATTTTTCTGTGTGTTTTCTCCCAGGGCATTAGTCGGTTTTTGCTCTTTTTTTTAATTAAAATTTTTTCCATATTTCATTCAAATGTGTTGTAAATGGGGATAGGAGGCTTGAGCCAAGAAATGCAATATGTTGGTATTAGTACATTCAGATATTAGGACAGCTCTACCTACCTGTTACTTCCAACAACTGCATTTTCACAATATTGGGGAAAAAGACCTTTTCTTTTTCTGCAAGTAATGTTTCAGTTGAGGGTGTTGAAGGATGAGGCTTCAGTTCTAGGAAATGTATCAATGTAAATTGTGTGAAAAATAGCTTTTCAACACCGTAGGTGCATTTAATTATTGTGATATTTTTAGGATCTAATGTCAGACATGAGACGCTATTGGCCTGATGTGCTTCATTCGTCTCTGAATCGCACTCAGTTCTGGTGAGTACAAAAAGCCTAAAAAGTATTTTGGATATTATTTTATTAAAAAATCTGACTTAGTATTCCTTTAGGTGAGATGTTGCGCATGAGAAGCAGTGTCCATAAGTTCACTGAAAGCAGTGTGTTGTGTCAGTCTCATTTACAAAACAAATATGTTGTCTTGTAAGAGCACTGGCAAAATGCAGCTGTTTAAGAGAGGGTCATGGCAGAGGTTTTGTAGAAATGAAACTTGGTGAAAGAGAATGTGTTTTCTCCCTTTGACCCCAGGGAGGAGAAGCAGCTGCTGTTGACACATTAAATCTGAGTAGCAGTAGCACACCTGGGATGACACAGCTGGCTGCAAGAGCAGCTTCTCGGCCTCTTTTCCTAGCTCGTTTCACTGTGTTGCTGGTCATAGAAGATCTTTCCTTCTGCGCTTCCTCACAGAGGAAGAAATTGAAAAATAGGATGCGTTGGATCATCCTAGCCACTTCTTTACAGATTTGTCTCTTTTTACTTATTTTCCTAGCAGTTGAAAATCAGATCTGGGAGTTTATTTATAGATCAGCCTACTTGGCTCATGGGAAGGTAGAAGATTCTGATCTCCACTGACAACAGTGCTGTTTTACTACTTCTCCATGTTTCGCTTCGCTTCTGAATAATCAGACACTTGAACCAAAGGTGGTATTTGAGTTTGCACAGGCTTCATTCAGTTTGATTGCATTATTTTAAACTAAAATCAGTGGCCTTCCAAGTTAATTTGCTGAGCCATGAGCTGCATCAGCCAAGGTATGGATAGGCAATTTGTTCTTCCAGATCTACACTGAAAGAGGTAGCATCAGATAAGAAGCAGAACACATAGCTAGAGGCAGTAGCTTTTAAAGCCATTTCAACTATAAGTACCTATAAGTTTTCCATTGGATAGGATGACTGTTTTCCCCTTGTGTCACTAGGGAAAAGCTTTAAAGGGTGTGTGCATCTCTTTTAGTCTTGCCCTTTCTCTACGGGAGACACTTGTCCTCAGAGTCTTAAACTGGTTCCACAAGTGTCTTATGGCAACCTAAACTTGTAACTGTCCAAAGTGCTGGTCTCACTTTTTCCTCCCTCCGCTCCTGTTCTTGTACTGTGCCAGGGAAGACTTGAAGACTTCTTTCTGTGGTCCACAAGTTTATGCCACCTTAAATTGTTCCTGGAATTAGAATAAGAAAAATGTGTGATAAATGTAGCACCTCCCCTGCCCTGACCACCTACCTGTTCTTAAAAACAGGTGCATACCACTGCTTATTTAGTAACAGAGATATGTGGTAGCCAGCAGGTATGAACAGATACAATCAAAACCTTTTCCCTTTCGGTGCAAGGCTAGCAAGTAGCACTTATTTCAATACCTGGAAATATAATTAAAAATAGCCTAAAAGCAGTACAAAAGTCGGGTTATAACACTGTCACTATTGTTTTGATTGACAGAGTAATTCACTCCTTTTCAGTAAGGTGACAAGTGCACTGTAATTGGCTGCTTTAACTGCAGAGTTTTTAAATGCATACTTGTAACTGAAAGCCAGTAAGATCCAGTTGTACATCTCCAGTTAAAATACTGTACTTCAAAAGAAAAGTATAAAAATCTTGATAGAGCAGAAGTAAGTATCTGAAAGTGAAAGTGACCGCAATCTTCGTTGTTGTAGACTAAAGGCATCTCAATTGGGTAAAGAGCATGAGCAGTGACAAGCACAATGGATATAGAATATCTTAGCATATCACATCAGGGTTTTTTTCAAGACTGCTATAATTTTGTAGTGTGTTTCATCCTGGCTTTACCTCTAACTATAGCCCTGGCTTAAAAGGGAAGGTAAGGAATCTTCCTGGTGATTTTTAGGATGGCTGCAGTTGCTTCTGTAAAGACAATTGCAGATCTCTGTTCACCTTGCAATCTTACAAGCTGTGACAATTGCCACCCAAGAGTTTGAATAGGACAGGATAGAATGCCTTGATACAGGACAAAGGGTTATGTGTGCTTTGTACCTCAAAATCTATTAACTGAAATTATCCCTTTTGTAGTAGTTAATAATTTTTATTTGGTCCAAAAAATTTCTAGACCATGAGAATTCTTTTAATGATCAGTTTATACATATGATACAGAAGAAGGAATCAGTGTTTAGCCTATAGGACAGCTCCATGTGCCTAATCATCTACATTTTGTGGGTAGCACTTGCAGCTGTGCTTTACAGACCTTTGTTCCTACCCTAATAATGAGCCAGTCTTTGAGGTGGGTCATTTCTATAATCCTTGGACCCACCTGATATGCTCCTGACTTTGTCTGTCACATCTGCTTGACTTAATGCTTGGGGGAGCTCTGTCCTTGGACATAACCAGAAGCAAAATCTCTTTGACATTTAGCTTCCTTTCCACACAGCTGAGTTGTACCAAATTCTTTCCTTCGCATTTCTGCAGCTCCCCTAAGACTTAGCTTTGAGGTATACAAGTGTAACATTTATTCTTCGCAGCACCATAGGGAACGTGGTGGAGAAGGACAAGTTATATACTGGAACCCAGTCTAGTGCTGCAAGCCCCACTCCTGTGTGTCTGCAAAAGTACTTGTGTCCTACAAGGAGGAAAAAATATTCAGTGGAGTTCTTGACAGCTAGCATATGTGCTTTGTGCTACTGCCTAGCTCATGGGTATGAGACGTACAGAAGGATGAGTGGCCTTCACGAATGCAGGCAGCTGTGTATTCACATGCCACCCAGCTGTGAGCTAAGGCTCAAGTAGACTTATCTTGTCTTATTGTGGTCTAGGTGAAGGATAATGTGTCTCAGTGAATAACACTGAGACATTAATTCTTTCAGTTTCTAAAGAAATTATTTTATGTTATTCCCTGGTACCTGAAGATCCCTCATGTCCTAGCTGCTCCAGTTTCCATTTCAATGGAAGAGGGGAAGATGAAATTTCATATGTCTGTGCTGAGTGGTTGGAGTATATCTGCTTTGTTTGGTTGTTGTTGGTTTGGTTTGTTGGTTTTTGTTTTTTTTTCTGTGGCTATGCTGCAGAATAAAATAACACTGTCAAGAGTGTCATCCTAAAGTTTGAGAAATTGTTAGTGACTCTAAAGTTGCTCTCGGGACTGATTGAAAAACTTGGAACCCTGTGTATTCTGCAGCTTGCTGCAGCTGATGATGCATGGGCAATGCCTGTGAGTAGCTGTGTGTATTTTCACTTGGGATCCCCACAGCCCCATTCCTGGGCCCTGTGAGCAGCATGAACCAAACCACTCCAATAGCAGTTCCGTGTTAGCAATAATATGCTTCTTGTGCACCATCAGATCTTTGGCCCTCTATTTCTGCCTTCTTTCTGGAAACAGCAGGACACCTAAGTAAAAGTACTACTGAAAGCCTTTAAAAGACAGGCACAACACTTTACCGTTGGTTTTACACATGGGCAAGCATATATTCTATGAAGAAAAATTGTCATCCTACATGCAAAGCCTTGCCTCCACCTTACTGCTGTTCCAGTAGTCCTTTGGATTTGCTATTGTCTGCTTCTGGTCCAAGCTAACTGCTCAATATCTCTTGCTAAATTTACCTCTAAAAGAGCTTCCATTTTCTTTAAAACTGTGGTCCCTTTTCTTGTCAGTAATTTCAAATCTGTTGTGGGGAAATCTGCACTTTGTCCCATGTTAAGTGGCCTCCTCCAGCCAGAAAACAATTCACTTGCCACGCAGTTGACTTGAATGTTACAGCCAAGATGAGAATTCTCGACAAGGCTAAATTTGGGAACATACAGTGAAAATCTTCCAGTAACTCATCTTTTCCCCTCCCTCAAATCTCTTGATGCCATAGGTGCTTTCTTCATTCTCTGTTCATAAGATGTATAGAAATTTGTCTAGGTACAAGCATAACTTCTTTTAACGTTTTTTCATTTCTTAAGAAAAAAATCTGAAGTTTTTAATACGAATGGACACTTCAAAGACAGGCTTTCAAGGGAATAATAGTTGTTCTTGTGCTTCTCTGCTTTTCCTTGAGGTTCTTAAGGCACCATAAGATCAGGGAAGCTATGGTAGTGGCAGGAATTTGTGATTAGCTAACTTTCTGTGTACATCTGCTGAATTGTTACTTAATACAAGTGGCGTCTGAAAATTTGAAAATAAACCATCCTCAAATTTGCAGGTGGTCTTATTAAACATTGCACTGTTTAATCTTTCAATAGACTTTAGAACTGATAGAAATATATTTTGAGCTTTGCCCCATATTTTGTCATATTTGAGTTTGTCTGTCATAAAATTGCAAGAATTGCTTTCTTTTGCATGCCATTCCATGGTATTAGAAGACTGGATGGTGGAATAGAAGCAAGACTTGAGAGCAGGACTATGAAAATACTGCTGCAGGCCAAAGTAAAAGTTAAGGCAACATTCTCGTCTTAGCAACTAGTGCAGTTTCACCCTTCCACCCAAAATAAGGGTTAGTGTCTTCAGTTCTGTAAGGTTTTTACTGCTTTGAATGTACATCTAACATAAAACACTCCACTAAAACATATACAATGTTTAGAAATATTAATTTTCTAGGCAAATTCTTACCATTCTAACCTCTGAACACCTCTTTGTAATACATTGGTCCAAAATCTCACAGTAAATGATTCTGCTAAAAATATGTATAGATGTTCCTGTAATTGAAATAGTGGGAGTGATCTTTCTTTGTTTTGCTTTTTGTGCATACAGTATTTTTTGAGTGCAGTATCCTACTTTACACGCGTAGCCTTTTGTTTAAGTATATTTAAGTATATTGGCTAGCTTGTGCAGCACATATATTGGAAAATAATGTTTTCTAAAACGTAAGTTTTGCATTCCTCATATAGGAAACATGAGTGGGACAAACATGGCACTTGTGCAGCCACACTTCAGATCCTCAACTCTCAGAAGAAATACTTTGGTAAAGCCTTAGAACTCTACCAGCATGTTGATCTTAACAGGTATGTAAGTGAACTTAATGGTCTGCCTCTTATTTCAAGCACTTTCCAAAAGGTTTCAATTCTAGACTGAAAAAGAAGCATAAAAATCTGATGGCAGAGCAGAAACAAGGATTGTCATACGTTAATTTTAGTACTGGAGTTCAGAAGAAGGGTTGTCTACTCTGAGAAGCATGTGTCTGGTCACTTCAGAGCCTGGTAAGGCAGCAGCGTTCTTTGCAGCATCATTTTAAACAATGTGAGCCAGTAAGTTTTGTATCAGCTATATTTTTTACTACCTGTAAACTTCTAAAGGTAGTGATAAAAACCACCAAACTTCTGAGTCATACTGAGGCCCAAATACTTGTTTATAGAAAAGACCCCCTCTGCTCAGGGGAATGGACAAGCTGCAGGCAAAATTGCGCAGAACATCCTGGGGAAAAGCTGAGAGTTAACAGCATGGAGGATGTCCTGAAGGGCAGTGTCCAGTCGCTGCAGGTGGCCCTCTGCTGTCCTTTCATACAGCTCCGATGTGACACCCTTGGTTTACCCTAGGGGTTGATTCCTCCTCATGGTTCCAAAGCACTGGCCATGCCAGATACAAAATCTTGGCGGAAATGCTGTGGCTTGTCCGAGTTCTGTGTGTACATGGTCTGGCTGCTGGTGAATGCTAGGCCAGAGTCCTTTCATGGTCAGTGGTTGCTATGGGTGAGAGCATGTTTGACTTGGATTTGTTGATCGTGAATTCTCTCTCTGTATAAGACAACAGTATCTGAGAGAGGAAATAAGTTCTTTTGTATTTAGAAACATACCTTAAAAAAAAAATCCTGCTCATGTTCTGTCAGTGTCTTGTCCAAGAAATCTCCTAACAAAGTCTTACTTGCTTTGCATACGTACAAAAGAAATACGTCTTTCACCTCACTTCCTTTTTTTTGTAGGTGCCTTGTAAAACTGAATCAGATTTTTCTAGACACAGTGCTTAACAGCATGTCATATGTAGTGTTAAAATTATTAATGTCTGATAAGTCAATTGCCTAAGTAGCTGTGATGGTGTGACTAAAACATTTTACAGATGGCACAGTGACCAATTATGTGACTCTATATCACGATGTATAACACTGAAAAAGAACAGAGACTGAAACATGTTGAAATTAATTGCTCAGAGCATATTCTCTGTTGTAAAAGTGAACATAATTAAATTAATCTTTACTGAAAAGAATAAAGTTTGCTAATATTCTCATTGTACTTCATTTATACTTGAATGAGAAAAAATAGTGTTAGTGATTAAAAGATTATTTCCAATAAGGAAATTATTAAAAAGAGGACATCATGCTGGCTTCTGTAAGGATGACAGAACATCATCTGCTATATTGGCCTCCTTATATCCAGTGTCAAAGGACTATGACAAAGAGCTACACCTTTCATCAACTGGGTTAAATCTCCCCTCTGCAGAATCTGACCTTGGAAGGGTTGAGCATTATCAGCATTCATGGATTAAGTCCTGTGAGATGCTGAACACTCCTACTCCTTACAGAAGCAGCTGGGACTTAGGGACTCGGTACCTATTGGGTCCTGAGTCTTGTTATCAACTTGGAAGTGTGGACTTCCCTCAGGACTGAATCTAAAGAAAAGCATATATAGACTAGAGGTTCTTGAGAGTTACTTGTTTCTCTTATGTGAACAGCCATTCCTCTTCAAAAGCATATTCATTAGGAAATGTTTCTGCCCTGATGTGGATGTTGGTCCAGATCTGTGCATCATATCCCTCTCCCAGTGTGCAGTGTGCCTTCCACCTCAGCAAGTGCTCCCTGTGTTAGAACATGAGGGTGCCTACAGCAGCCTCACAAGTCTGCCTCTGTCCCCTCCCAGTGGCCAGAGCACAGGGGTATGGCTCAAGGTGGGGGAGAGGAGGCAATTAAACTGCATGTCCTAGCTGGTACTCAACGGAGCATTCTGATGGTCCAGCAAATAACAGTAATATTGCTCTAGCTGTATCTGAAGACTCGACTCTCCAAGCTCCTCAGATTAAGGTAGGGGAGAGAGTTCTTCCTTCCCGTGCCAAGTTCGATGGGAAGTGGCCTTTCAGAAAAGGGGACCCTTTCCAAGGCCTGGCAGAGGATGGAACACAGGTTTCCCTTGCTCCCCATCGGTGTAATGCTTGCCAAGTTCTTACTAAGATTATCTGTTTACCTAATGGCTATGAAGTTAGGATTGCATACAGGAACCATGGACAAGTGTTTCATTTTTGTTTCAGTTGTCTCCTGAAAGCTGGGATAAAGCCAAGCAGTTCATATTACCAGGTAAGAGGCAATCTTTTATGAAACGAAATCATGTTCATGTACTTTTTTTTTCAAAAGGAGTCAAGAAATTTCTAGAGAATAAATGATTTTTTTTTTAAAATTTATATTTCTTTAAGGTTGTGCTTTATCTAAAAGTTTTTGTGAACTTAACAAGTGTGGAGCTGTTGTGTGCTAGTGACTTACTAATTTAAATAAGCTTTTTAATTTTTCAGATGACTGCCATAAAGGAAGCTCTTACAAAATTTTATGGTGTAACACCAAAGATCCAATGTCTTCCTCCAGAAGAGGTAAAACCCCAAACAAGCACACAGTCCCCAAAACCCTCAAAACTATAAAACAAACAGAGAAACAACAAAACAAAGAAACCCACTACCTCCTCTCCTCTCCTCTCCTTCTCTCACTCACC